TTAACTCCTAGCTCCGCCCACTGGACTTGCATTCGATGAGTTGAGAGCCTAAATATTCGTTCTAAAGTTACTGGAGAATTTAGTTCTGCAATACAATTTATCTGTTCCATAGTAAGAGTAACGTTTTGCATTTTAATTGTTAATTCCGTCAATTTTTCTGGATCATTATAGTCCGCATTTCCAGTTCTAAACAAGTCCTCCAGAGTTTCACGGGCTATTACATGCGATCGTCCAAGGAGCTGCTTTAAAATAGCCTTAGCTCTTTTATATCCTACTTGTGGTTCCTTTATAAGGCAACCTTCAATCGCATTTCTTGCTTTTCCTTTACAGTAATGAATTAAATATAATAAACGCAAATTATCATCCCTTACTCTAGGTTCTATAAACGATTCAAACTGCTTAACGAACCTAAAGTAGTCTCGGTGTTTGCCGTCAAAGAATAGAAGTTCAATCTTTGGTAATTCCAAGGCTACTACCGGTGTCCTAAACATCTGATCCTTCTCTGGTACCTTAGAGTTCTCGTCCGAATTTTGTTCCTTAATGCATTCTAAGGGTGACTTACAATAATAAGTATCAAACATAACATCATTCCTGTTTGAAAGTGAACCCATTAAACATGAAGCATCGTAAAAGACTTGTCTCGCATTTCGGGATTCTTCATGATCTTCCACCCTCTTCGTGTTTGTTTTCTTTCGACAGCTCATAGTTAATTGAAATTCAACGGGAAATAAATAGCAAATACAAAATATAAAGTTTCCACCGGTAAATCTTCTTCGTCAATGAAAATCCAAAAAGATCAGAAGATCGTTTTCCAAAATACAGTTTGATCAAAAAAAGATAAGTAATCCAAAGTTCTTCTTCCAAGAAGTTTAATATTGTAAACGATGAAAATTCCAAATGTTTCCTTGTTCTTCTTAATAGTTAGACTATGGGTGAATTTTCTACCGTAGCAGTTCACTTTGTTTCCATTAGGTGTAGGTTGAACGCGCTGTCTCGAATCCAATATCAAAAACACAACAATTCTACGAGAAAGAGGTCTGTTTTCATTAGAAAATGGAAATACAAACAGTTACCTAACTAATAATACAACTTCCAATTCAAAATTACCACTATGGGTATCCGATTCCAAAAGAATAAGTGTTACCAGTTCTTACTGCTACGGTATCAAATCCAAATATGGCTGTAGCCATATTAAATATCAAATTTAAACAACATATATACAGTTCAGAAGCAAACATAAAAACTTCAATATAAGTACAAATATAGAAATAATAACAATATACAATGATAAAATCTGAAAATGGAATCAAATAAAGTACCAAAATGTCAACAGAAAGAGTTAGTCATATCATAACACAAATATAAATACATGGAGGGATTTTCCAAAAAGCAAAACATTCAAAAAAGATTGTACACCTCAAAACTGTCAACTCAAGCCTCGTTCCGCTATACGCAGTCTAACTTCCTCAAGTTTGGCGTGACAGACGTATTTGCGTGATTCGTCGCTGTAGTTACGGCACTCCCGCACGGGTTGAAGAAGCACCGTGCGACACCGTGCGAAAGCCATTCTTAAACGCAGAGACCTAACCGATCGACAACGGTTGGACCGACGTATCAACAACATCGAAATGAAACACGACACTGGTCCAGAAACGTTGTTACCTATGAGATAGATTATTAGCGGACGACTTTTTCCCACAACTCTTCCTGTTTTAACTTCCCCAACAGACGCAAGCTGTACTTATTTGGTTTCAGAATCATGCCATGCATGAACTGCTTATATGACCCTGGAAAACACCAGGAACGCTGTTCTTATATCTTCAACGAAATCGCGAATCACCAAAGACACCCAGACGTAGCTAATCGAGAATAGATGTGCTTTCAAACTAGGCGGGACAGTTAATCTCCATTCTCCTTCATGAGTACATACGTTATGCTAATCCAAGCATATGAACCTTGCCTTATGATCATCGAGGTCTATTCATACGTTATACTGCACACCAAGATGACTGAACTGAAGACAATATTTGACGTCGGTATATTCAGACAGATTACAGGCTTATTGAGCAATACAGTTGTTATCTAAAATATTCTGGATAGTAAAGAAAGAATGATACTTACAACCTGCATGTCTGTATTCTTGCTCATTTCGTCAGTTAGGCGTTCAGCTTCCATACACAACATGTAGCGAAACTTGAAAGGCAATGAAAACATGTAAAGGACTGCTGGATAGGAAATCTGTAAAGCATAACATGTATTTTTGCTGTCGTCCAGGCTTTCCATTTTAGCTGGGTTCACTCTATATCTTTTTAAGTGCACAGTTGTAGATTTAGATAGCTGAGAGACGTTACATATATTGGAACGAAATAGTTGTAAACTGTTTACAAAGAATGCAGAACAATCACTTTAACAATTTCGTTTGACATACATCTGAACAAAATCAATGGCTTATATATTTAAACGGCCATAAAAATGTGAAACTTCCAAACAAGCTACTGTGAAAAACTTTTTCACTCTACCACTAACACATCACGCGAATTATTTTTGGCACCACAACACCAATGGCATATATTCCTAAAAGTTCAGGAAACCCTGCATTTTATTAGCCACTAATCCCATATCATGAACATCCCGGGCAACTCTCGGCACGCATTAACGTCTACCATTGCCGGTGGAAAAAGGTATATTTACGTCATCCATGTGGTGACGTGTGTCCGCCATTTCGTTGAAACTGCTGCAGAAATTAGCATCTTTACTAAAAACAGAAAATAAAACGTTTTGACGACCCAGTTTTCAATCTACAGGAAACGAACGGAAAACCGACCGTTAAGCATTGCAAAAGGTATGTTTATCCCTACGTCGTTATACACGAACATTCACTAGTTCGTTGTTGTGATAAACGTGTCAGAATCAATCTTTGGTGTAGAATGGCTGTGGCACCATAACCAACCCCCCGACCCGGGGAAACGAAGGTTAGTAGACTGTAAAACTAAATTATTGGTTTAAGGAGTTTTCTTTCGGTGAGTGTAGATTATATTCAGTCAAGGTTAAACACTTATCCGACCCTTCATTTCATCCAATACTTGACAGCTACCGGGAACTTTGCCTAACATGACCGCAATTGTCATGTGTAATAGGCAACGTTGCAAATCGATCAACGACTGCATGAAATAGTGCGGCTACCAGCTCCTGAAAAGCTAAGACTTGCTGAAAAAAAGTTCGACTGTATGGTAGTTTTAAGTATTATTCTACAGTCAAACAGCTCATTGACTTCCTCATTTTAGATGGTACGAGAAGGAAAGCGACAATTGGCATCCAAACGGTAATGACTTGACAGCTACCCTTAAATCTACAGCTCCTTTTTCGAAAATCGACTTGGTTATAGCCATTGACAGAATCCCTATGGCACTGAAAGACATTCTTGAAACACTTTTGACTCATGAATTTTCGCACATGCCTATCAGTTAAAGAAATACTGATCAAGTTTTTCACAGTCTCTACTTTGTTTATGCTTACTGTTATCACAGTCTTATCGCACGTCCGGGAGAAGAATCCCGTTTCCAGCATCTCATTCTTGTTTTCCAACGACTTCGAAAATATGACGTCACTATCAACAAGCAGAAATTTCAACTTCCCAGGACATAGTATTGTTGATCATAGTAACTGCCCCTCGGAATGTAGATGACAGCTATTCTGGATTGCCTGGAGCCGACCACAGTCAAGCAAACACTCAAGTTCGATGGAACGGTAAGGTTTAACAAGCGGTTTATACAGAAATGTGTGTGTCTCATAAGCCAAATAACCGACTAACTATTTGAAAATGTGGAAACCATTAATTTGAATGACACTGCAAAGAGAGAATTTTCCAAAGTGATAAATACTGGATCGTGAAATAGAATTTTCGGTATGAAACTCCCAATTACTTATTGAGATTTACGACACTTTTAACCCAGTGTGGAAGGGTGAGAATTCACTCTGATCACCGACCTTAAACCCTAAACGTCCCTCTTAGCTCATCGTCAGACAAGTATTTTCCTAGAGAGTCCCGAAAACTTAATTACATGTCGCAATTTACCTCGGATAAACGATACATTCTTGGAGCCAACAGTATAGTTGCATAGGCTTCTCTTCATTTATCTCCTTTGAACAATGTACAAGGAATTGATATTCCTAAACTCGCTCAGCTTGAAAAATAAGACGACGATCTACAGTTGTCGCCGGTAACCATCAAAATTTGAATCAAACTGATGGGAATTGGAAAAGGAACATTACTTTTTGACACATACGGGTAGAGCTCCTTCAATTTTGTCGAAACATTACCGAGACATTGTCTACTATACGTTAGACGAACTTTCCGATCAGGATGTGCGAGAAACCATCAAGCTGATAACATAACGATTTTGTCGACTTGATGTGGGCCAAGACTGGAAGGAGTGGGCCCGCCTCTCTGTGAGCTGCTCGGAAACGTAGGTTGATCAGATGTAATAAACATTGTTCCTCAGGACGACCAGAAGCAATATCTATCTAGGATATTACTGTTGAAACTGTAACCCAAGTTTTCACTGATCGATGAGTAGCAAACTTTCAAAGCCTTTCAAATATTACTACAAACCGTTCGAATCTGAACTTTTTCGCAGTCTTACTACACTTATAAGAGTCACCGAGAACTGAAAACCTCAAGTATCTTCAGTACTATCAAATCTTGACAGTTTGTATTGAAATATATACACTGCAGTCAGACAAAAAGACAGCCCATAGCAAAAGGTACGTCTCTAAATATCTCTTATCCGTCTGAAACGCAGAAGGAACATATGGTTCACAGCAATATCATCTGTTAGTCTCGCTCAACTTCGTTTTACGAGCACCATGATAATCAGAAATATGTGTTTATGGGTCCACGCTTTCAAGAAATTTCTGCATTTCGCACATCGTTCTATTCTTAAGGCTGAAGAACCAGAATAAAAGTTTGTTTAAACACACCATCTGGTGTCAAGGTCGTAATGGCCCAGTCGTTTGTTCCTTTACCTTATAGAACAGAACATCGCAAAAGGCATCTTTCGACGTTATCGCTCATTTGCGACGACGAATGCTTGTCGGATTCACAAATAAAGGCTTACCAAACCCGCCTACAGTAAGTCAGACTTTGTGAATATTGTTTCATTGTATTGAGAATATTTGTGAAACTAATATATGTACGAGTTTTCGAGCGTGTCAGTTGAGTAAATGCCATTGAAATCCACTGGTCTTTCCCAACCTAACTGCGGAAATCATTGCGGTCTACACAGCTATTTTGGTATTATTCCGATCGTTCTTAATGAGGACATCACCTTCTTGGTTGTCGAACTTTATTTAATTGCTCTGGAAATCTATTCATGGCTGTTTTTAACCCTTAGCTGTCCTCTAAGGGGTTTTGGTACTGCCTTTTTACGACCAGTAAGCTAAAGGTAAATATCCACTGGTTCTGAGGCTGACCTGAATCTAAATATGCTCCAGAGCGAGCACAGTCTTTAATGGAGCCTCTACCGGTGGTTGATAGTGATTTGGTCTAGTTGTGTCCAGCGGAGTCTGTTTTAGGGTATTTATGTCAAAATATGTTTCTCGTTATGCTGAAAGTTGGCATTTGCCTGAAACAGGTACCGAGTTACATTTCGGTTTCGTCTTGCCTACCTACTTTAACTACACCTAAGTGGTAGTCAATCGGGGCGTAGGCAGAGACATTAAAAAAGTAACGAAGTGTTCCAATATTCTCTAGTCCCTGCTGTCCCGTTTAATTGGGTAGTGCATGACTGACTATTCACTAGAGGGAGAGCTAGTTCTGCTTTTGAATTTAATACTAAACCGACACCAGAGAGGCCACGGGTAATAGCAGTGAGGTCTCGATATACGAACGGTGAATCGCCACTGTTCTATGTATTAACAAGATAAAGTCGACTGAATGACTGCACTTGGGTCCTGTATCAGCGTTTCTGAAACACTGCCTACATCAATGGAGTGAGACTCTAGAGTCCTAGATAAGGAAGCCTGTTGTCCTATTTGGTACAATGTCCGGAAATTGAAAGCTCCAAAGCGTATTTTCGAGCGGGCTTACACGAGACTAGAAATAACATTTCGTGAACACAAAACGTTTGAATCAGCGGCGCAAAGTGACGAAGGAATGAAAGAAAGGGTTGGTCGTGGCGATAACAGAGTTATTATGAGGTGGAAAAAGTATTTGATTGTGACCAGTTCGGTCTCATGGGTTGTTGCGCTTATGAGGGTGGATGTCACTTCCTAGCTGTCAACACCGTGAAAAGGTGCTTCTTGAGAAACCTGAAAAGAAAGTTGGATTAGTGTCGGTCTATAGACTTGGGTCCGTGACCGCAGAGCCCAGGCGACAACTGCTTGAGGCCGGTCACGCACGGCCTTTTTATGGCAAGTTTGTAGTGATAGGTCGGCTCTTGTTTAAAAGGCCTTACCGCCGGAGACGGAAATCCGTGACGTACGGTGAGGTGTGACATTTTTAGGGTCGATCATTTCTAAGAGTACGTTCTTCCTCACAAAGAGCTGTCATAGGTCCGTGCGAATACAGCCACTGTCAGGGAGGTCCCAATCACCACTTCGTAGGGGGAGTGTTGTCTACAAACCTGAAAGGACGAAAAGCGAATGTCCATTGCTTGGATCGGCCGGTGGGTACGGAGGGTCCACTTAGAGGAGTTGGAGAATTCTGACTTCAAACCAATGGTACACATGGGTTTCAGGATCCTGGGAAAACGATCGGCGTGCGAACCTACTGTTGGTCTCTGGCTACTGTGGGACTGCCTCTCTTGAAATTACTCCAATGCCTCGTGGATTAGGCCTTTGGGATAAAGGGGAGCGGCCCCCTAAGCAAACCACCTGCTTCGATGTGGGCACTCGTGCAGTATCCTAGCCCGTTTACAAACTCAATAGTTTGTGTAGCACATAAATACTTATGTGCCCCTTTGTACCGATAATTGTGATAAATAAATAAATTATGAACAATGTACTAAGTAACCTCGGAAATATGAATAAACCAATCCTACATAAGTCGCGGCGGTCTGTAAAGCTAGGCTCTTGTGGCTGTTTACCAACGAAAAAATATCTACTGGCAATTTTAAAATTTCGCTGTATGGACGCGCATTTTGTACTGCTATAAACTATAACCACAAACATCGACAGACCACTTTTGGAGGTTAGGTCACTATCTATCTACTCTGACCACTCTTCCCTACCTGGGACACAATAGACAGATGGGAAAAGCTGTCATCGCATTTGCTAGTTTTTATGACTCTTCAGTCACAAACTTTTATTTGGGTTTTTACCGCTACCTACATATATCTAAATTAATCTACATACTACTATACCATGCCTTTATATTATTCTATGTATTGAGTTGTTTGACAACAACTCGATCTAAGCCTCCGTTATTTTGTAATAAGCCCTTCAACTGTTAGCAAAATACAAACTTCCAACAACTCATCCACTCTAATGAAGTGTTCGAAGCTTTCAAAGAATATGAAGGACACTGACAACATACTGACCTTACAGGAACACTTGAGAACATAAAGCTTTGAGGGAGAAAAGAGAGTAAACCAAAACGAGGTACATTTGTCTTTATGGATTGAGTTTATGTAGCACATAAATATTTAGTCATTGCTTTGTGACAATATTTTTCGTAAATAAGTAGTTATTAAACTATCATACAGTAATGGTCCTGTCAGTATTCTGAACTTATGGACACTATTGATTTAAAACCTAAGTTCTTCGAGTCCCGTAAATTGATCCGTCGTACCTACCACCCGAATGAATCACTGGAAATTTGCCTTATTTCATTTCAGCTTCGTCGACATCGCTCGCGCTACGAAAAGGCAGTAATTAGAACTCTGACAACCGCTACGTACGCGCACTGCCGTATGAGAGCATTTCGGTAGGAAGAGTTCACTCTCCTCACCTTTGACCGTACCAAGGCTTTTGGGAGTGAGTAAGATAAAACTTGTAGTATCATTAAGTTATATAACGACTGTCTTCATCATGAACATCGAGATGCTAATGCTAGCCTATTTCAAGGATTGTTTAGTACTGTGAATACATGAGTCAACTATTGATCCTCTTTTTATATATTCCAAAAGAAACACTTCAGTACTTTTGTATGAGTTAAAATACTTAAGACGACTCCAGTCTACATTATACAGTACAGATCTGCCCCGGCAATTTCTACATCGGAATTCGAATGCCGTCCGAAATGCTTTCTCGAAACCCATCTTGATAATAATGATCTTGTCATTGAAAAACAGTAATACTCATCTTGTTACAGTGCTAGGTCGTAAGTTTAAGTCTGTACAAAATGTTTCGAAACCTAGTGGTAAAACTTTATTCGCTAAATTATTATGTACACAAACTTGATTGTTGAAGAGCCGAATGATAAACTAGTGGAATTTAGTATGTAGTTGCTATCCCGCATAGTAAATTCGCGCACAAATTCATTTCTATTGTTTCTTTTAGGGAATACCGTACATTTTTGGATGCAGTCAGTCGTCTTGCGCTTTGCAGCAATGTATGTGTGACAGAAGAGGCTGTCACAATAGGAGAGCATGGTTTACTGACTGGGGAGTCCTTGAACGCACTTCAACATGCCGGAGCTATATCTGTATATAATACACTGCAACAAAATAATTGGGAATTTCCTATGTCGGAAGGTATATATGTATATGATATTAATTCTCATGTTTCAGAGGGTGAAGTAGCTATAGTCAAGGCTCATGTTCCCATTCCTGACGAGTTTTTAGATTCCGAAAAACCCATCCGTTCTGACTGGCCTGCAGTCCATATTTCAGAATGCTTTGTTGAAGGTGAACGAGCAAAACTGCACGGTTCTGTCCGGCCACTACGAACTTTCTTACCGCCTACTATTGTTTTCCGTAATGCTGCGGATGTAGATGAAGATGTTCCCGAATCAGAAGTTAATATTATAAATTCTGGTCCAGAAGGAAGCATTGAAATAGTTCAATCACTTAAAGGTTTATCAGTTAAAAAGCCATGTAAAGATGGTAAAGGAGGTAAGTAAGACTTATAAATTGATGAATGTATTATTGTTTTCTCAACTAAAATCCGTTTGTTGACCCTAAAATATATATTTATTATTCTTAGTAACTTCCGAGGTTTCTTTTCTTGCGAATTCATAGATTTATGGGAAACAAATGCTGTTGTTAGGAAATGAGTACTGGGTAGGGATGGCAAATCAATAGATGAAGTGGTAAGTGTTCATCACTTGAGGTTGTTGCGACATGTGTTACAAGTGCCCAAAGACCGACAGATTAGACTAGCGATGTTTTGTGACGTAGAGGTACATTGGAAAAAGGTTAGGGGCGGCCAGACCGAAACATGGCACAAATCAATGAAGTCACTGACAAGTGGACTAAGCCATGTTAGTGATTGTAGACTACTTTGTTGGAGTCCACGAGACAGTAGTACCCGATTGTCAGATACTTTAAGTGATATGGCTCAAGATCTCTCGCAATGTTGCAGGCGCACCCATTATTTGCCTTATTTTAAATTCTAATCTTCTGAATTCCTCATGACCGTTCTTCTTTTTTATAACTGGTTTCTCCGGTGTATACATCTCGAATGATATATTCGACCATTACTGCTACTACTTCTACCGCGTCTACTACTATGGGATTTAATTGATAATTGCGTTTTTGCGCTAATGTAGTATGAAAATTGGAACTGATGTACGTACGTACGAAGTTCTGCGTTTTAGCTGACTTTTTGGTAAAATATTTTAAAAATGAAACAGTCAACTTGAGTGTTGTGGTTAACTCAGCTCCGCCATATCAGATTCTACTTACGACTATTGCTAATTATGAATAATTGTCTGATATCTCATAATTCAAGATGAATTTGGGAAAAGCTTAATATTCAATGGATGTCAAAATGTATAACAACTGTATGTGTCAATATCTATCACTTGTAGAACACAGAAAAATCAAAAATTGATAGCAAAGGTCAGTGTGGTTATATGAATTAAAAGTTAAAGAGGACTTCCTCATTCATGAAGTATCATTTATTAATGAAAAGTAATGAGGAACTTGAAAATTTGATATCCTCATATCACTTTGTGGTCATTTAAACGCCTTTCAAACAACCAGACATTTTGAATATAAAATGCAATAAATAATACACTGACTAAGTTCCTCAAGTCAGTCAACTACAACGCAGCACTTTAAATGTACGTACATCACTTCAATTCGCCATACCGCATTAGCACACATAAATCGAATTGTCAGTTCAAACCCCATACTTGTAGAGGTATTAGAAATATTTACTGTAATCAAAAAGATTAGGGATCGAAAATATCCCAGTGGAATAAATTCAAATGATTTCTAGTTTCTGTAAATTGAAAATTAGTAGGGTTTCCGTTTGTGATTGTCAAAAATGCCAGTTTAGGTTTTCGCAAGGTATGATTTCTTGCAAACACAGGAACATTGTCTAGAATAGTTTCGTTTTTAGATTTTAATCACACCTTATGTAATGCATCATATTGTGGTGTCGTTTACTCAGTGTCCATATTGAGAAAAATTTGCGAAATTTCGTTAGCATTATCAACTAAAATAAAGCAGTTATCTTGTACTCATTTCCTAGAATTATTTTCATCTTAACTTAGTTCATCTGTAGCTTTTAAACCTCGCAATATTACTTATTACCTCTGTTATTGTTGAATCTTAAAATCATAATTTAGTTAAGTATATTCCAATAGACGAGTATTACTTTGGGCATCAAGATGGAAATACTGATTACGTGGAGGAAAAAGGTGATTTCCGATTCAAATGTGCTGTTTGTCAACGAATTTTTTATTCGAATACAAAATTGATGTCTCATATTCTTGGTCACGTTGATGAAGCTTCACAGGCTTGTCTGGACACTGCAGATACTACACAATGTTCTGTATGCAATCAGATATTCTTTTCTGCCTTTGATCTAAGAGATCACATTGAAAAAGTGAGCTATGGATTATTTATATGTAATTCGTGTATTTTGAGGCGCTACTATTCACAACTCGTCATCATTGAGAAGCAATCATGAGGACGTCCGAGCATTAGGATTTATATTTTATGTAGTTTTCTGACCAATTTTGTTTACACAAATCTGCTATGATGGAACGCTATATAAAGACTGAGTGAAGAGTAGGTTAGCATTTGACTGTATGTCAGCCATTAATTATTTAAATCCTATCCAACTTAACAACTAGTTTTCCTCGTTATTCGCACATCAGTTAACTACTATTCAGCTGATTTTATGTCTGAGAGCTTGAGATATAAGCCTGAAATATTTGTTCTTAGTCGAGTTCCTCGGGGATTTTTAATACTTGTACCTTGCTATCATTGTTTTTTCTATTTTACGAATTTCCTGTTCGATAAATTTGCCATAGCTACCATGACCATTATCTCAACCAATAATCGTGTTTTTTTTTATATGACATGCAACAACCAAGTGCAATAGTCAGTTCTTGATGCAATGAATAACGTACAAGGTTCATTTTGATTTTTATATCTCACATTTTTTATATAAACCTGTATGACTCATGTTTAAGTGCATGTTGTATATTATCGATTACCTTCCAACAAAATAAGTCTTAACACAATTGGCTTTTTATGCTAAGACGTATTCTCATTTTCACTTGGCGCGTTCTTTTCGTTTTACGGAGCTAAGTTTCAAATTTCGCTTTCGAAGCATGAAATGCTGTCACTACGAAACGAGTACTAGGTAAGGATGGCAGATCATTTGATGAATTATTGGAACTTCATCAGTTGAGGTGGTTGGGACATATGTTACAAATGCGCAACCACCAACTGCCTCGACGAGCGATGTTTTGTGGCGAAATAGGTTGGAAGAAAGCTAGTTGTGGCCAAACCAAAACATGGCAAAAATCCATGAAGTCACTGACAAATGGACTGAGTCATGTTGTTGGATGTAGGCTGCCCGTTTGGGATCGGCGAGACGAAAGTCACCGATGATTAGAGACCTTAAATGACATTGCTCACTATTGTTTGCAATGGCGCAGGTGCATCCACTCTTTGTGTTCTCTCGGATTCTAATCTTCTGAATTCCTCATCATCTTTCTCTTTCTAAAGTTATCTCAATGAATTGTACTTCTCGAATCATATCTTCGACCCCTAATCTTCTCCGTTACTGCTAATGCTTTTACTATCATTACCATTATTGGATTTGAACTGACATTTGCGTCTCTGTGCTAATCCGGTATGGCAACTTGAAATGAGATACGTACGTACGAAGTTCTACGTTGTAACTGATTGACTTCTTGAACGTTTGTACAAATGGTTTTTTTACATTTTTTGCGGCTAGTTTCTAATGAATAATTTTTCATCTTTCGTGTCGTACTTTTAGGAACACACTGTTTCAGCTTCTGGCGATGAAACAAAAACAGACCCTCTTGCACAAATCACCTCCCAGCTGTTGATTCAACAACGAATAGATGGTCGTGATGATTCTATAAGTAATCTTGACCATATGGAAATTTTAGCACCAAACTTAAATGGTATCTCAAACACACCAAGTTGTCGCATTTGTGGAAAAGTTGCTGCCAACAAACTATTATTAGCTCATCACCTTCAGTCTACTCATCGTCAACGTGAAATGCCTTATGTTTGTCGCTTATGCTTGTTTCGATCATCTATGTATGAGGACATACTGGATCATTTTAAAAAGGTTTGTTTTATGGGTTTGTTTCCCATCCTATTTGTTTGTTTTTGCCTTTATTTATATAGAAATGGTTGTATGACAACGCAAAGAGCATATTAGGAAAAAATTATAAGTTATGAGTGTTAAAATTTTGAATCAAAGAATCCATCGATAAGTTATTTTTCATCCTTTATCTATGCTACGTTGTAAGTAGCGTCAGTACTCACTTGGTGTGACTTCATTTGAGTAGTTTTCTTCCAGTAGTGCTGTTGCGTCGATTATATAATCAGTCAGCAACAACGTGGAACTTCGCACGTAAGTATATCGGTCCGAATTGCCATCTCAGTAGCACAGAGATGCAGTTGTCGATTCAAATCCCATGGTGGTAGAAGTAGTAGGAGTATGAGCAGTAATCGGAAAGTTTACAGTTTAAAGATGTTATTCAAGGAGTATAATCCAGTGAAATAAATTAGATAAGATAAATATGTAGGTTATGAAGTATTCAGATTAGAATTTGGGGGAACACAAATGATGGATGCACCTGCGCCATTGCAAACTATTTTGAGCCGTGTCATTCAAAGTCTCGCCTACGCCATAAATGACGCAAGTTGGTTATCCAGTCGAGTCTTCTGTATCCGTGCTGAGATTTCGTCAGACACCAGGCCATCGGCACTGATGTGACTCTATTATTTACCTCAGTTACTTTAACAGAGTGATGTGTCCATATCTTCGTACCCACTGAGATAATAGAACTATGAATTGATTAACATATGACATAGAATTAGTCATGAATAAGAATCAAAGTCCGTCATTTAGTATTGAAACTTTTTACATTACTTTCAAAATGGGGAATTAAAAGATGCAATTAAAAGATGCAACGTCTTCTAATGCTATATCTTTTTCGGGACAGCTACCTTGATCTCTTATTCTGTACCGTTCAAATCTCAGTTAGCTCTCGTTTGCCCTTGTGAAATGATTCGATATTCATTGCAGTTTTTTTTAAACAATATGGTTCAATTATTTTAAAACTAAAAGGTTGCTTGTTTTTATTTGAAATAAAATCACAAGACTGAATATTTTACTGAACTGACACTTTATATGCGAATTTTCTCCTCCGTTGCATTACATTAGTAACGTATCTATAAGTCTCAAAATTTATTATCCGTTCAGTTTTTTCCTTCAGTTTTTATTGCATATAGTCAGTCTCATTATTACTATTAACTTATATTATTTTCTCTCAACCCTCGCTTGTAGTCTGTTCTGATTGACGTGATGGTAAAGACTTGAGGTGGGTGAAAGGGCTCACGGTCCCCTATCTATCCCATTCTCACTTCTTATTTTACAAACTTTGATGTAGTAGATCACTAAAAGCATGTGCCACAACATATGATGATGATAAAACCGAGGAATTGGATAAGTTAGTATTTCTTGTATTCGACAGCGTCTTGAGTTTGGCAACAGTTCCTTGGGGAACAGTCCCACAGGTTTGTTGTCATGAAAACGTTGATCAGACTCTCCCAACACATAACAGTCTGAAGTATGTTACTAACGAGTGCCGTCATTCGCACAAATTGTTTTACCGACCCCTGGTTTCTTGTTATTGGTGACTCTGACGGGTTAAGGCAACGTCCGTGAGTTGCAAGATGCAGCTGCTGCTTTCAACTTTTTAGCACTCGGATTACGAAGTTTTGCTATCCTTACGCCTATTTTGTGAAAATCTACGCGCAGTGACAGCAATGAGTGTCAAGTAGTTGTAAGAATCTTACGGAAAACCAATATGATAAGAAAGCCATTTCATGAAGCCACAAGTACAGTCTATCCTTATTTCTGTTATATTTTATAATTTCTCAGTAACTCTGATGATTCTCTATACTGTTTCATATTTATATGGTATACCTTTTATTCCAGATGCATGATAATTCAAACCACTTACTTTGTACCTATTGTCTTCGTATATTTACCCCTTCGGATGCGCGTTGTTCGAACGTTCAACCAGTTTGTCTGTCAGCTTCTGGTGGGATGAGTACTGTAGGCCTAGGTTTAGGTGTCGGTCAGACGCAAGTTTATCTTCAGCACTTACGTCTACATCAAATCAAGCATCAACTTCGTCGATGCCCAACATGCCGTTTAAATTTTACTAATAAATCAGATTATCAAGTACATCGACGCTTAGATCATAAAGCCACGAGAGATCATGGTGCTGAGAAGCCAGATCTTCGTCAAGATTTTTATGAGGTTAGTTTTTAGAAGTAATCCAATTTATGAAGTGTTTGTCTAACGAGTTTTAAAATGAAACTAGTTACATAAACAGCACGTTAAACTCAACTGTCAGAACAGCTGAATACTTGACGATACACCAAAGTCCAATACTTGATAACCAAAAAACCTCTCAATTCGTGAGGCAATTACTAGATTATTTATGGCACATATAAATTCTGGTAAATCAGGACACTAAAGTGTCACGCTACATGAAATAATAGAATTCTAAAAAATACGAGATGGAGAAGTTATACAAGAAGTAAATGAATAAAAACAGTATTTGTTATAAGAATTGATCACACACAAATATCAGACCAAACTAGGTCCAAACGAGTATGTTTGCTTTGGAGATTTATACACACTCACTAACTAAAAGGAAACGACTGCCATTCATCTAACAAAGTTTTGAATATTTGATCAGATCAGTATCACATTGGTAACTTAAATGTATACCGTACATGCGGCATCGTAGGCTTGGTTTTCCAAATCACTTGTTGTTTTAGCTTCATAACAGAATGCCTGCAGTGCTAACGATTAACAATTTTTCCCATAACACTTACAGTTATTCTAAGGACATGAGTTCTGAGTACCGGTTTTTAGATTCGAACGACACCTCTCTTATTTTTGACGTCAATAGCATAGCTTTCCTCCTGAAAAGTAAGTGTAATTCGATGTCAGGTAGAGTCTTGCCAAGTCTGATTTGGATACCATTATAACAAGAATCAGTACTTGGTTGTAATTCTGCACGTTCAGTATACCTAGCAGCATTTTGTCAAAATACATTTCTTAACTGTTATTAAATTTCTCATAGCTAGAAGGCTATCACACAAAACAGCATACAGCTCAGGCTACTGAAAACTTTGACGACCACAACACATCTGTAGATTCTGTGCGTACAATTCGACCACATATAACATCAATGAATGCTCCAGAGGCTGGTTGTGCAAAAAACTTGGCTATAAACTTCTTACCTGAGAATATTGAGAAAATGAACTGTCTGGAGTGTGGAAAACGTATGGGTGATTTTGAACATGCGTAAGTCTTCAGCATATATATCACGTAATCGAGTATCAACATAATTAGTGAAAAAAATCATTTAATTTGTTGATTTGATTTAATTACCAAGATGATAGTAGTAACTCACTTATTTTTGTATCAATCGTATTTGGATAAATTACTTACTGAGTTTACTAAGCTTAAAAATGTAAGATTATGGAACTAGAGCAGTTACAGTGTTATGAATGTACGCCACTGTAGACTTCTGAATGATCCTTACTACGGTAGAATTATATAGTTGTCACAAGTATCAGGTATGTGGTTTCCGGGTTGCATGAGGTCAGCGAAAACCCTCAATATTACCCACTAATATATGCGAGTTCTTCTCTACATTTGTTCCTCTAATTAATCTTGTAAGCCGTTTAATGGCAAACCCTTTTTCTATCCTCACTTGTGTATGAAGTTCTATGTTGTAACTGACTGACTGATTGAATGATTTTGTTTGCAGGCAATATTTACCGTGTTCCGTGTGCAGATTTGCAACATGTTGCAGGGTTGGCTTTGAACGTCATTTTCAAAAACTTCATGTCTTCTCAAACGCTTCCCAAACAACAGATCATGATTGTGGTATGCCAATGGTTCGTCAGATCTTCTTTGACTGGAGCAATGAACCTAATCTTCTTTGTGATGGTAGTGTCATATCATCAGAACTAGCAGTTGTTGCGGGTGACCAACAGGATCTTATCGTTAATGAAGTCACAGATTTGACACCTACTGAAATGATGAATTTTACAACGATTGTCTTGACTGACGAAACAAGCCATGTTGCGACTGAGAAACAAAGCTTAACGAAACGACCCAATCCAAATGACTCTGTTACACGGTATATGCGAAATCAAATTGATTCACGAAATCTTTATTGTTCTCACTGTGGGACAAGTAACCTGGACGGAAATAGTCTTGCACGACACCTAGTTGAAGAATGTGGAACACTAACTGCAACCCTGCATCCAAACCTGTCATTTGCACAAACAAACTCTGAACAAAGAGAAGCCTCTGAAAAACAGTTAGATCAGAATGAAGTAAGTTGATTTCCGATTTTCTTTCAAGCCTTCTATGAGTTAGGATTACTGAAAGCCATAAATAACATCGCAGCCGAATAAAAATGCAAAATCATCCTGGTTATTTAAGTCTGAATTTCTAATCAACGGCATGTTTTATAAATATTCATGTTGTGTTCACCTCCGATACTTAAATACAAACTTCTTATACGTGAGCGCAAGCCATTTACTGAGTAAAAAGCTTTAATGAATAAAACTGATTGGAAACAGCTGTATACTCATTCATGTATGTTCCACCAGCAGCGTGTCTTATTCTTTAGGAAGGTAAATTAAATCTTAACCAATCGCATGCGCTTATCATTTGGCTAAGTATATCAGTCAACCCTGTTCAGCAATCATTTAGCATCTGGGTAAGGTCAGAGATCTAGGGATAAACTGCCGACGTATGCAATCAGGTTAAAAAGAACATAATTTTTAGGGATTAGTATATAAGACAATCTTCTCTTTTCCTCCTATCTAGCTGATTGTGATCACGAACGTCCTGTGTACGAGTAGAAATCGAGGCATTAGGTGAGGCTGTTAATCTTCATAGATCCAGTCTATTTAGTGTTTCGAGACCCACCTAGTTTGCTTTCGATTGAGGTAAACTAAAAAAATGCTTCAATTATAATTGATTACTATGAGATAGTGACTAAAAAGCGACTTTGGTTTTCTTGCTTGGTTTTATATTTACCACTTTAGGTGATCCTATTAAACTCCAGCAGTCAAGTATAGAGGTACCAATCTAGTAAATATTATTTTACATTAATTGGTACTTTATGTTTTATTTCAGAGTGGAAGTCTATTTGGAGCTACAGATCAAAGGGTTATCATGATTAATGAACCTTCCTTATTGTCTACTACAGCTACCAATCTTTCTGATAATGATGTAGTTATGGTGACTGTTGATACTGATCAACCACCATCCATGAGACTTGTTGAGTCGCCGGAAGATCAAACAACCTTGCTTAGTGGTACTCAGATTACAACTCAAAGCGATGGAACAACTACTATTGATGTTACTGATGCAGGTGGAGAAGTGGTACAACAGTTTATACTTCCGGATGATTTACAGCTCGAAGAAGGTCAAACACTAGTGATGATCCAAGGTGAAAATGGTCAACCTCAACTAGCAATCGTAAATCAAGCTGGTAAATTTACCCTAATTATTTGAAAATGTCTCTGTTCTCTTAATCTAGATTTAATAAATGGAGACAGTTCAGAGATTTTGGTGCAAACTGAGAATGAAGACTCTAGTGATATCCTGATTTACACTAATGTAAGTGATTCCTTCGATTTTACCAAAAGTCACGTCTTCACTAATTAATAAATATATTATATACATGTGATTTCCAATTTTCCTCTTCTATATATAGCGTTTGGAAACTCAAGTCGAAAACTCAGAATTAAATAGAGAAGAAGAAAAAGAAAATCAACAGTTCAATCTGTAATATTTTTGTTACGTATATATGTTTATGTCAATTTATATAAATAAATTTGTGTTGACAATTTTCATTTCTTTGTGATTACAATAAACGTATTATGCTTTTTGTAACTTTGTTAAGTGGAACTGAATGTATGGTTATTTAGTAACAAAGCATGCTCGTTCCACTTGGCTCGTATAGCACAGAAACATGTGATGATTTCGCTTTGTTACATTGAGTAAATTGTGTTAACTTAAATTTGTATTCCTGACTGATGTCAGTCAGTAGTTACAACATAGAACTTCGTGCGTATGTACTTAAGTTCATGTTGTCATACCACATGAGTACGCAGATGCGGTTGTCGATTCAAACCCAATAGTGGTAGAGGCATTAGGAGTATTAACGATAGTGGAGATTGGGGTTCGAAGATATTACTCAAGAACGATATTTCAGTGAGATAAGTTTATAAAGAGTAGGATGGGACTGATGAGAAATTCGAAAGATTAGAATATGAGAAAAGACGAATAGTAGATACACCTGCTCCATTACAACGATTTTGAGCTATGTCGCTCAAGGTCTCTAACCGTCGGTTACTGTCATCTCGTGAACCTCAACCACTTAGTCTACACCCGCTAACATGACTTAGTCCGCTTGTAAGTGATTCCATCGATTTGTGCCATATTTGGTCCGGCCGCCCCTAGCTTTCTTCCAAAGTACCCCTACAACGTTAGTCTAGGCAGTTGGTGGTTGGGACGTGTTACCAATGATGAACACATCACTTCATCTATTGATTTGCCATCCTTACCTAGTACTCCTTTCCTAACAACAGCATTGTTTGCTCGATTGTCGCAGGATATACGAGCAATGCTTCCAAGACATCTATGATCGAATACCAGTAACGTACGAATATCCTCTACTGTTGCTGGCCATGCTTCGCACCCGTATAGTAAGACGGAGTAAACTGCTGCAAACCGATATCTCGCCTACGCCACAAGTGACGCAAGTTAATAAAAGTCAGTTGAGTCTTCTGTATCGATGCTGAGATTTTTTCACACCAGGCCATCAGCACTGATGAGGTTTCCGAAATAAGTGGGGTGATAAACACGCTCAACTACTTCCCTCCTTGTCACTAGTTCTGTTCCCGATGCAAGCCGATCTTGAAGCTAAATTTTGATGGGCGAAACTGCATTCGGAACATGCTTCCAATATTTTCTTCACGATCTAGTATAAACCAATTGGTTTCTTTGCGCTCCATTCTTTTTTTCGGTACAGTTCCAGGTGTTTGGTGGTGTTCAGTGGATGAGGTTTTAGCCACTTGACTGACTGATTCTAGTCAGCTTGCAGTTGTTATTAAGTAAGTGATATGAGAAGGCCGTAATATCAAATGGAAGGTTTCATGACATGAATCAAGCCTAGCTTGCACACGAGGGAGATGATAATTCATATGTGAGTACGTGTTTATCAAGTCTCTTAAAGCTGTTCACTGAGGTGGCTGTGGTCACCTCCACTGGGAGAGCATTCCAACTTGAAACGACTTTTAAACGAGGAAAAGTATGCACGAACCTGATTGTTCTCTCTTTGATGCGTAATTTTTTGAGAATTACCTCGAGGGTAGTGGTTGTCATGCGTCGGTAAGGTGCTCACTTTGGGATGGTTTGGCGTGCTTAATACGTTGTACGCCATAATCAGATCACCTCTGATTCTCCTGTAACCCAGCACGATGTCCAACTCTCCCATGCTATGACAAGATTGAACGCACACAACCTGCCTCTCCAAAACCCATGTTGAGATTAGTGGAGTACTTTGTTCTTATCCATCTATTCGCTCACTAGCCCTTCTATCAACTAAGACAGGCTTAGTAGTAATGCGGTCGAGTCCTACCTATCTCATTTGAAGATTGGTGTCATCATAGCACACCGACACTGAGACGCAAATGTCAGTTCAAAAGATTAGAATTCGAGAGAACACAAAGAGTGGATGCACCTGCTCCATCGCAATCAATTTTGAGCAATGTAGTTTAAGGTCTCTAATCATCGGTGACTTTCGTCTCGCCGATCCCAAACGGGCAGCCTACATCCAACAACATGACTCAGTCCATTTGTCAGTGACTTCATGGATTTTTGCCATGTTTTGGTTTGGCCACAACTAGCTTTCTTCCAACCTATTTCGCCACAAAACATCGCTCGTCGAGGCAGTTGGTGGTTGCGCATTTGTAACATATGTCCCAACCACCTCAACTGATGAAGTTCCAATAATTCATCAAATGATCTGCCATCCTTACCTAGTACTTGTTTATTGACGACGACATTGCTTACTCGGGTGTCCCAGGATATACGAGCCACGCTTCGAATACTAATAACCTGCGAATGTTCTCTACTCTCACCGGCCATGTTTCGCATCCATGTTGCAGGATGGAGCGAACTGCTGCATAGTACACTCGTCCTTCAGTCAGCGAACGGATATCTCGCCTGCACCACAGGTGCCGCAGGTTGGCAGAAGCCGATCGAGCCTTCTGTATTCGTGATGAGATTTCGTCAGTCACCAGGCCGTCAGCAGTGATGAGACTGCCGTGATAAGTGAGGCGGTATACACGTTCGACTACTTCACTACCTATGACTAGTTCAAGTGCCGATGAAACCCTGTCTTGCACTTTGTCAGCGTCTTCACGAAGTAGGACAATGTCATCGGCATATTCTAAGTCGATTAGCGAACCTCCTGGTCAAAGGTCCACTCCTGATGAGTCGGACGGTGATACTGTTAAAATCAGAAGTATATCTACGACAAAGTTAAACAAGAATGCGGAGAGTTGACAGCCCTGAAGGGTAATGTACTTCTTTGGTACAGAATATAATGGTAAATCGCAGTGATCTGATGCTTTTGTGATATTTTATTTTTTCTTATTATCACTGTGGCCTACAAAGTCATGAGTGAGCTCTTTATCAGTATCATTTTCCAGATCTGCTTGTAATAGGATTTCTTTGGTAGGAAGTTAAAACCAGTGCAAGGTTACGAACACGACTTGTAGATGAGGTTAACAAGAGAAAGTAACATCAATATCATTGATTAGTTGCATCCTGCTATATCGTAAGTAGTCGTAAGCAAGCAAAGGTGAATATGCTTGGAAATATTTGAAATATAACTAGTTTTTATCATTATACGAACTAACATTTTTTGTTCACACACTAGATGTTTATATCCCTTAAATAATTGCTGCCCGGCATTCGGCAACACAAGGCGTACGTAGGCACTACCTATCCATGTTTCTCGCCAACCTCACTGTGAATTTTTCGTCCAACTATTTCTGTAGTTTTTCCAGAAAGAAAGGTTGATTAAATGCCGAAGAAGTCGACTTCATATTTCAATCTCTTTTGTATTCAAGCTGTAAAGAACGCCCAGTCTAAATGTGTTCTTTGTCAGTGTTTCACTTAGGCTGCCTGTCATTTATCGATGGTTTATTCGATTGCTCTTGTATTCACAATTTTTGGCGAATTTCCCAATGAGGTGACTTTTTATGTGGGTGGATCCTTTCGGTCGACTTTCGTTCTCCATGCTAGGTATTTTATTCTTGGGGCACAACATCCGCGGAAATTTAAGGTATAAGCGAAGCGCTCGGATTACTCCAAATTTGAATGACAGCTTGACTTTTCAAATAAGATCTTAGTTGTGTACGCTCATCCTTCAGATTTCATCTTTATTTCGATTGTCTCTCCCTTTAATCTGAATCTTGGTTATATTTTGTTCGTGATTCTTCTAACTGGTCAGTTAATTTTAAGCAATTTCGATGCGTTTGTTGACTACTACTAATTGGCATCATTGTCAACGCTGCGAAAATCCTTTGCTGTTTTTGTATTTTCTCTACCCAAGATTTCAACATCTTTAAGACTGAACATATGTTCACAATTGTCCACATGCATTGATATAAGTAATAAAATGATAATTTTACTCTTGCAGTCCGCTTTTAACCCGAATGGTGTAGGTTCATACGCGTCCCTCCCAGTCCAAGTCCAAAAGCGATAATTCTGGGAGAGAACGATTCTATATTTAATCAAAAGGGGAAATTCAGACAATTACCAGAACAATATTACACCTTCGAGTTTCCAATTACCACAATAGGTTCCGTTACTGGAAGAATAAGTGCTTCCAGTCAGTTACTGCTAGAGTATCAAATCCAAATATGGCTGTAGCCATATTAAACATCATTTTTAAACAACACATATATAGTTCAGAAGGAAACATAGAAACTTCAATACAAGTACAAGATATAGAAATAATAACAAGATACAAATGATAAAATCTCAAAATGGAATCAAATAGAGTACCAAAATATCAACAGAAAGAGTCAGTCATATCATATCACAAATATATATATATATATATATATATACATACATGGAGGGATATTCCGAAAACAAAACATTCAAAATAGATTCTACAAAAGTGAAGACATGTTATGGCGTTTGATAGCTGGGTTAAGTTCAACAGGATGAGAAGCTAGTATGAAAATTGGAATACGAGGATTTTGTGTGGACATTGTCATTTAGAAGATCAATGGAATCTCTATTGCCAGAATTATATCATTCGAGATGTATACACCGGAGAAACCAGTTATAAAAAAGAAGAACGGTCATGAGGAATTCAGAAGATTAGAATTTAAAATAAGGCAAATAATGGGTGCGCCTGCAACATTGCGAGAGATCTTGAGCCATACCACTTAAAGTATCTGACAATCGGGTACTACTGTCTCGTGGACTCCAACAAAGTAGTCTACAATCACTAACATGGCTTAGTCCACTTGTCAGTGACTTCATTGATTTGTGCCATGTTTCGGTCTGGCCGCCCCTAACCTTTTTCCAATGTACCTCTACGTCACAAAACATCGCTAGTCTAATCTGTCGGTCATTGGGCACTTGTAACACATTGTAGAATCTATTTCGACGGTGGCTGTCCTAATTGCTTCCAATAGAAACACTCCTGTACGTTACTCCTAGATCCAGGTTCCAGCCAAATCAAAACGGCAAAATTTCTAG